GTTCAGGTCCGCGAACACGGGTGCAGATGTCTTGGGAGGTCAGAGGGGGCGTCGGATCCCATGGAGTTGGAACTGCAGGCAGCTGTAGCCTGAAGAGGGTGCTGGGAACTGACTCAGGTCCCACGCCCGGCGGAGCAGCAGAACTGCCGGGCTATCTCCCCAGCCGCGACCTTTTCTTGGTTTTGAAGCAGGGTCTCTCACCGATCAGGGACTCACATCAGTGTTAGTAACTAACTCTTTGCCTTTCCAGTCCTGGGGTTGGAATCCATTACATCTGAAGTATGCACTGTGGTAGGTGGATATGGCAGATACTGAGTAATTTGGGATAAGAGAAGGATTTTTTTTTTTTGTCCCCAATAAACTGTTTGGATAGACACCTAATGACTTTTTTTTGGGGGGGGGGGGGCGACACGGGGTCTCAACGAAGCGCAGCTGACCTCCAATTCGCTTTGTGGACTCATGAAATCCAGATGTATCTGGTGCAAACAAGGTACAGTTTCGGGAGACCCACAAATGTTGGAGCGTAGGAGTGCGTGCTCTCGATTTAACCGCAGCACCTGCAGGGTCCATCTGCACCCGGCAGCCTCTTCCTTGTGCTACCCCTCCTAACTTCTCGCCCCCTGGTTTGGGCAGCTCCGAAAGGTACCTAGGAATGAAGTTTGGGGGACTCTTTGTTAGGTGTGGACGGGGCCAGAGAAGCCAAAGCCCCAAACCTGGGGCTCGCTTTCCTTGCAGATGGAAATTACCGCCTCCTTGCCCTACGTTTCCAAACCAAAGAACCGACTAGAAAAAAATTTAGCTCCCAGGCCCCACCCACAAATGGGCACGCAAGGGGGTGTGAAACTGCGACGGCCATCTTGGACTCGGGCAGCACCCTCCCCTTCGGACTGTAGCCTTAGCTGGGAGGACCAGAGAGTTCCTTCAACGTTCTGTCCACCTAAACTCATGTGCTCGTGAGGCCAGTGACCCGCTCCTCCTGCTTCCAGGTAAAACCTCGAGCCAGTAACCTTGTGGCAAGTTCTAGTTCAATGCTATCTGCTACCCAGCCATCACATGTTGTTCCTGTATCTAAAGGAAGCTCTCGGTTTACACGATGGCACGCGGCGCCTGAAGTGCCTGAGCTTGGCGGTGCGAACGCTCTCCCAGCCTCCAGCACCCTGTGGGCACACTGGAGGCGAAGGGAGGGGCGAGGGTTCAGAGAGCCAACCCAGGCCAGTGAAAAGTACAGCTTCGCCGGGCCCCTTGGACGGGCACGTGACGTGACCGGCTCGGAAGGGTGTCAGAAGCACAAACCGGGGTGCCGAGCACTGAAGGCAGAAAGGAATCTTTGTGAATTCCGGAACATTTCAACGCCCCCAGCTTGTTATTTTTATCCCCCCTGGCTGCCTCTCTGTAGGGGCTCCCATGCAGCATCAAAACTCCTAGGATCAAAAAAGCCACGCATGTGTGTGTGTCCACGGGGGACGGGGGAGCTGGAACATCATGTCCCAGGCAGAGCTGAGTGTGAGAAAGGGCCTTTAAAGTCGTGTGGGCTGTGGTTCCTGTAGAGAGGTGGCCCACTGAGCTCCCCACCCAAGGGGCCCCTGACTTTCCTTGTGGTGGGAGACCTGGAGTGCAAAGAAATAAGGGGGGCATAAGATGGCTCAGTGGGTAAAGACCTGACCACCTAAGTTCCATGTCCAGGTCCCAAGTGGTGTAAGGGGAGAACTTTCCCTCCCTCTCCTTGCCCCCCCCCCCCTCTC